CCTGCGGCTGGAAGCCATTTTCGTCGGCGACGTACGTCAACGCGACAGGAGATCCCTCTGCATTTGGATAACTGAACGATCCTTGAACGACCACTACCGAATTCGTATCGTTCACTTGTTTCAACTGACCATGCTCCTCCACCTTAATGCCGTTTCCAGTTTCGTAGGTGAAGACGTACGAGCCATCTACGTTCGGTCCATCGGCGCTGTACGCTATTATAGGCACTGGCGTATTGTCAACTGGCGCGGCGGATGCGGAAACCGCGATGACGGCGAAGACAGCGCAAATCTGGAAAGTTGATTTTTCTATCGAAATTTCGTTGCGTTTTGAACCGTGGTTGTTATTGGTATTAATATATGGAGAAAAATTTGATAAATCTTTGAGTTTTTTTTGTGATTTTATGGATAGAGTATAGAAGATATGGAAAGTTTAGATATTTGATATTGTAAAATATATATTTTGTTTTTGAATTGTGTATAGATGATGTTGATTAGTTTATGCTTTTGAAAATTGAGATTTTGAGAAATATAATAATAGATGATATATTTATAATAAAGATTGTTTTATTTAAGTTCTTGAAAAAATGTATATTTATAAATAATAATCTTTCGTTTACAATATAATAAGAGATCAAATTTTAATTCCAAAGAAAAGAAATGTAATGTATTGAGAGATTTTGTTATGATTTTGAATATTCACATTGTAAAAAAAAAATAGTAAAAAATTTAATAGAATAGAATTATGAAAAATAATTATAGATTTGTATAATTCATTTAGATTAAAAAAAACTTAATAAATCAAAAAATTGTAGATAAATGTACTAAAATTACAGAAAGATATATATTGAAATATACAATTTAAGTAACTGTTTTAATATACTGTTTAATTTTATATATATTATAAAGAAAATAAAAAATGATTTTCAAATATTGTAAAGAAAAGACGATAAAGTTTAATATCTCTGATAAAAAAATTAGTATTCTCAATAAATATTCCTCATTAAAATTATTATAAAAATTTCAAAATATACGAAATAGTTAACAAAAATTAACACCCATTATAATCGAACTAAAAATCAATTTATTATTTCAAAAAATAAATTTTACATACTCAATCTCAAAAATTTTCAAACTTTTACGTACAATTCTCCTCTCACACCAAGCAATTTTAATTTAAAGAAAAATTTCTTTGTTCAAATTATCATTCTTTTATTTTTAATTGCTAAATTTATGAATTTAATTTACACGTAATTGAAAATTAATTATTGAAAATCTTGAATGAAAAAGTACACAACAAATCTCTATTAATAAACACGATTTCAATAACAAAGTAGGTAGATGTCCAAAGTACCCAACACCATACGGAACTCACCAAAGTGTTCATGTTGACCGGAGTTGTTTTCTGGTTGTAAAGAGCTAGTCTAATGGACGCGTTTATATAGCAGTGCCGAAACCTTGCGAGGTGCGAGGACCTCTCTCCCATTGATAGATTTCTGGCCGAGGCTTAGACACCGGCAAATATTACGAAATTTTCAGACAGGGAGTCTAATAGGGGGGTATGCATGGGTGTTGACCATTTGTACAGTTCAGACGTTCGACGTCTCATCGACGTTTAACATCGTGTCTCTATGTTTTTTGGAGAAAATATTCGCATTTTCATCGATTTGAAAATTTGGAGAGATTTACTAATCATCGTGTAACCGTGAGTATAATT